ACACAGTAGCCTGTCTGGACCCACGTCAGCGTGTAGTGGCCCAGTGGAAACCCTTCACCCAGGCAGTCTGTGCGCAGTAGGGCTGTGGCACCAGTCTTGCCACCCGAGGAGAAGCCTTGCAGCAGGCTCTGGTGAAGGGGACAGACAGATGTGTGGGGAAGGCTGGGCCCACCCTGGGGAGCAAGAACTGGTGTCACTATTGCCGTACGATTACTCTACCAAAATGGCTTGAAACAGGTGCTCGAAGCCCTTTGTTCCTTAGCTAGCCCTGCCCTCATGGCTCATGGCCTGGGTCCTCTGTCCATGTCCTGGGAGTGCTTGGACGGGGCTGTCGGTGTGGGAGCCCTTGCATTCCAGGGGCCTGAAGCTTGAGTTTTAGCCTTAGCTTCTGCACTTGCCTCATAGGCAGGCTTTTGCAAATTATCATTTTATTTTGAGACACATAAGACCATGTAGAAAAGGTAGGGCATGGTGGCTCACACCTGCAATCCTAGCACTCTTGGGCTGAGGTGGAAGGATCACTTGAGCCCAGGAGTTTGAGGTTGCTGTGAGCTATGAGGGCGCCATGGCACTCTAGCCCAGGCAACAGAGTGAGACTGTCTAAAACAACAACAAATCCATACAGAAAAGTTTAAAGAATAATGTGTACTTTTTAATTTATGTATGATTTATTATGTTTATATATTGTTATATATATGTATATATATAATAATATATATATTGTTTATATATTTTTACTGTGTTATATAATATTTATATAAAATGTTTGTATATAACTTTTAAATACTTAATAATATATTTATACATTTATATTTATATATAAATATACGAACATACCTATTACCTATCACCCAGGCATGACAGCTGTTCTCTTATTTGTCTTATTTTCTAGTTAAAACATGTAAAATGTTACAGATGAAGTTGATGTTCCCTTATTCCTCCAGCCTGAGTCTCACCCTATTCCTGTTTTGTGATTTTGGAAAATCACTGTCATGAATTTAGTTTTTATCTTCCATTTTGCTTTTGTTTTTAGTTCCAGCTATTTATGTTTTGAACACATATTTAAAAATTCAAAAGGTTTAAAAGGAAAGAGGTCCCTCCTATGCTGCATTTGAATGCTGCCACATTAAGGAGGCCGGGGCAGCAGGTGCAGGCAGTCTTTGAGCAGCACATCTCCAGCAGCGGGTGGAATGGAAGTGTCGTTGCTTGGACTCCAGCCTCCAGCTGTGTTTTCTTCTCAGCAACCTGATCTTTAGTGGCCAGATCCTCAGGTCCACCGTTGTTAGCATTAGGTTTAGTTGACAGTGATGGAAGCCCCAAGCAATAGTGGCTTAAACAAGGTACATACTTGTCTCTTACTTGGCTAAAATCTTAAGACCCAAAGCTGGTAGGGTGGTTCCACAACTATCAGGGACCTATCTTGTTACTCTACTATCCTCAACACATGGTTCTATTTCATGGTCCAAAATGGCTGCTTGAACTCCAACCATCACATCCTCATTCTAGACATTAGGTAGGAGAAAGGGAGGAAGGGCCTGTTGCTTCTCTTTCAGGATCATTTCCCAAAGCTACAAGTGACATTTCCTCTTGTACCCTGTTGGCCAGAGGGTGGTGGTGAAGCCTGTCTCATTGTAAGAGGGCCAGGAGGGAAGTGCAGTTTTGGTCCTGGCTGGCTGTGTCCCCACTGATACATGGAGACTCTACTACTGAGGAGGAGAGGAGAACACCTGTCAAGGGACAACTAGCAGGCTCTGCTATGGTGCCCCGTGTCAACTCCTCTGAAGTGGAAAACCACTTCCTGCGTGGAGTGCCTGGGAAACCGGGAAGACTGCAGGCCACGTCCCGCCAGCCCCCTCGACACACTCCAGAAACACGGGTCGGCGTGCTTTAAACCGCTCCCGCAGAGCCGCGTGCCAGCTATGCAGGCAGGCCTTTGTTGCTGGAAGCTCAATGCCCTTCTTGCCAGAACCAAGGGCCCTTCCGGCTCTTCCTGGGCACGAGGTTTGTCACCCCAGGCCACTCCCTGGAGAGGATGCTGTGAAAGCGCTGAGCTCCTCACAAACAACAGGGCCTGGAGTCCCCCAGTTGGACTCGGGCCCTCGGCTTTGGGGCAGGGCGGGGACGCTCGGGAACAAGGAAGCATTGCGAGCAGAGCCGCAGCTCCCAGCCCGCTGCCCTGCCGGAGTCTGGCAGAGCCTTGTCGCGAATGCTTGGCTTTTTGTCTGAGAAAGAGGTGTTTTCCCAAGTCCCCAGGCTCCCTCATATAGAAGTCACAGGGTCCACAGGAGCCACAGGGCAGGGCGGAGGATGGGGGCAGTGAGGAGTCGGGGACGAACGGGAGAAGGTGCAAAGGGCCAGGGGTGCGGGGAACTCCGAGGGCGCAGGGAAGAGGAAGGCGCCAGGTCTCCGCGCTGTGTGCCCCGGCCTGTGCCAGGGCCCAGCACTGGGAGAGCCGGGTGGTTTCTGCACGGAGCCGGGCGCAGGGGCTGCAGTGGAGGAGACAGCAGTGTGGCCGGTTCAGAGAGTGCAAGGGGACCTGCTGACTGGGGTTGGGGTCAGGAACCTGGTGCTGAGGTGAGGCTTGGAGCAGAGCCTCAGAGGACAGAATGGGGCCCTAGGAGGGGCCTCTGTGCCTCACCTGAGCCAGGAGGCAGGCCGCAAGTCCCAGCTGGCCTGGACCTCTGCTGTGGGGCTAGTGAGGACAGAGGCTGGTGGTCCCGGCTGAGGCCGACTGCCTTCTGGAAGAGGCGGCAGGTGGCCACGTGTGAGCGCCCTGATGGCACCCAGAGAGGAGGGGAGGCAGAGGAGGATAGGGCCTACAGACTGGTTCAAACCAGGAGGAACAGTTGATTCGAATGGGTGACTTTAAAAACATGTAAATCACACTTGAGAGGGGAGGGGAGCTTAAGGTCAGCGTGTGGGCGTTTCTAGTCTGGGCAAGTCTGGGCAGCGCTGTGTAAACTCAGGCCCTCCTCTCGGTCTCCCCAGGAGACCCCTGAAGCCTGAGGCCAGGGCTGTGAGCAGGAGGCAGCGGCAACTGGACCAGGTGAGAGAAGGCAGACAGGCGACCCTCCCAACACGCGCCGGGGAACGGGATGGCACTGGCTGGGTGGGGATGGAAGGAAAACTGTCATGGCCCTTTGGGGGCCTGGGCCTCAGTGTGCCCACAGGAGGCCTCCTAACCTTGGAGGTCCCCAAGAGCAGGTGCACACTCCCGGGAGGGAACTTGGCGCCCATTCTTGAGAGGATGGCTCCTCCCTGTGCCGCCGTGAGGGACCAGGGCCCGCACCAGCCACGTGAGACCGCACCCGGCGAGGGGAGTGGGGGCCAGCTTCCCTGCAGAGGTGGCGTGGCAGCACGTGGGCAGAGGCACCCCAGCAGGCAGGTGTGAGCACCAGCGCTGGCCTGATGGCTTCGGGGTGAGGACTAAGGGGAGCAGTGGGGAGCAGGCCCAGCAGGCCCGCCCAAGGACTGCGCAGTGCTGGTCACAGCTGGAGCATCGCAGGGTGGCAGAGGTGGGAGGGACAAGGCTGGCAGCTGCTGGCCATGCGGTGGGGTGGTAGTGGTGAAGGGGGTGCAAAGCCAGGTGTGGGATCCCCAGGGGACAGGAGGGACAGGGGACCACAGAGGATGGGGCCTCCCTCACCGGGAGGGCTGGGCAAGGGCTGGCTGGGGCAGACAAGAGCCCCTGGGTCTTTGGCTCAGGTGACCTCAAAGCTGCCTTCAACTGTAAATGAAAGGAGGAAGATGAAGACCTCCATTTTTGGGGAAGGCATTTTCAGTACTGATCCTCCTTTGTCTGGTCACACAGGCCCTGCAGAGCAGAACGGAGCTGGCAGAAAGTGGGGCATGCGGGTTTCGTGGCTTCCCGGGGGAGAGCCAGGCTTGCCCCCGAATGAAGGCTGGGGGAGGCCAAGGCCACGGCAGCTGCGCGGGTCTCCACAGCGCGGCTCCTCCGGGACTCTGAGCTCTGCACTCCCTTGCCCAGACTCACATGGTCCTCTCGGATTCTCAGGTGCAGTCTAAGGAGGGAGTTTTAGGGGCTGCTACCCATCCCCCCACTCTGCCTGGACCCTTCCAGAAAGGCCCATTGCAGGAAACGTTCACCTTTGCCCTGAGATAGTCGAGGGCAGGTGACTGCCCCACCCCTGCGCTGGCTTCTGCTGGTGGGCAGGCTCCTGCTCCCCAGGTGGCCGGGGGACTCAGGGCTCTCCCCCTAGGGGACAGGGTTGCCCGAAGAGAACCACCTCGCCCCGGCCATTTGTGTCTGAGAAGTTTAACCGAATCTGATCACTAGGAAATGGACTCGAGCAGACCCTGCAAGAGACAGCGGGCCGGTATTAGCCAAACATTTCAATGCTGAGAGGGAAAAAGGAGGGTGGGTCGCTCCTTGGTTAAAGGTGGCAGGAGATGCCCAAGGAAGCGCTGGTGGTCCCGGGTCACACAGACGTCCTGAAGACGTCACTGGGGCGGCTGGAAGGGGTGGCTGCGGCGGCACGCTGCTCAGGCTTTGGGGACGCTGCGTCTGTGTAGGGTCATTCTAGGAGACCGAGCGGGCTGCCCGAAGGGTGCAGAGTCTGACGGCCACGGCCCACTTCCAAGCTGGGCTGTGGCTGTTCCATAAAAGCGTGAGCACTTGTGAGTGTGAGCAGGTGTGTGCGTGTATGTAGAGGAAGTGTGAGCGCAGGATAAAAGACGACAAAACTTTATCCCCAGGTAAATGTAGGCTAAGAGCTTGTGGGTGTCCATGAACTATTCTACCCGTTGTCATTCGAAATTCTTCAAAATTTCAGGAGTTGAGGGGAAAACATTTCACTGAGGCTGTGACCAAATGGCACCAGCCTTCCTTTCAACTGGTGTCATCTTCCCAAATATTGCAATTAATGATCAATACATGGTTACTGTTTGTGGTGATGACAAAGCCCCACGTTTTGCTTTCACTACGCCCACTCATCGCCACTCTCTCCCAGGCCACGCCCCACAGAGCACCGAGCCAGCAGCTCCTGTTCAGGGTTTATTTCATCCGCTAACATTCATTCTCAACCTAGACAAAAACAATTAGATGATTATGACTTGCTTTTCCATCATCAACTTGTTTTGTATGAATAACCAAAAAATTTTCTTCTCAACACATTTTTTTTAAGAAGCTATAAATAAATAAAGCTTTAAACGCTCCTGGGTTCAAGTTAAACAATTCCAGTTCCCGAAAAGTTCACAGAGTTGTTGCTTGGACGATTCTGCTGTCCCTGGCTTCCCCTCCAGGAGGGGACGCCTGCAGGTCTGTGGGTCCTGGTGACTGGGCCGTCAGCGCTGCATGCCTGCGTCGGCACAGTCCTCGGAGTCTAGATGCTGCAGGCACAAGGAGCCTCTGCCCCAAAGCAGGTGGCCTGAGTGGGAGGTGCTGGGCTGGACACGTGGCAGGCTGAGGGCACTGCCAGCCACTGCCACATCTGGCACCTTGGCCTGAGAAGAGACTGCTTTCCGAACGCAGCAGAGAGACCGAGAAGAGCCCGGTGCCTCCGTGCATGCGGGGACAGCAGGGCACAAGTTAGAACATATTCCAATACGTGCAGAACAGACCCTGTGCCCGGGCCAGCACGCGTGGGAAGCCCATGGTGAGGAGGGCCCTCTTGAGCCAGGCCACCAGCTGGGTGCCTACCTCCTAACGGGAAGCCACGGCATCCAATGTAGCTTATGCAAGACACCAGGCTCCCCTGAACATGCCCCACCCTCCTCCCAGGAGTGCACTTACCCCAAATGACAAGTGCCAGGGCAGGTCCCCCAACACTGACTCTGCCCTCCCTTTAAAGAACTACACTACTAAATCACCTTGGCACTCGCCTACTTAGTGTGACACACCCGCCTGGAGGTGGCTCTGGGATGGGCTGGCACAGTGCCCACCTGGCCTGTTGACTGCCCTACCCCAAGGCGAAATGGCCAGTGTAGGAAGCCCAGGGGAGGGCCCTTATGCCAGACAAGCCACGATGAAAGCCGCTTCCTCCTGAGTAGCAGCCTCATCTGATCACATCTGATCTCATCTTCCTTCGCGGGTCCATCTGATCCGCCGAAGCTGCAACACTCACCCCCCGGTCAGATGGCCTGCAGCCCCTGGGCACATGCACCTGTTCTCTGGAGAGCCTGGGGCACTTGTTGCCTGGGTGTGGGCCCACCAGAGAAGACACCAGCCTGCCCTCCTAGGGTGCACGGGGGACGGGGAACTGTGCAAGAGCTTACAATGGATATGTGACATGGCTTCTGGTAGGGCCACTGCCGGCCTGCGGTGCTGCTGGGGACAGAGCTGCCAGCCTTAGGGGCTGGGTAGGAATGCAAGGACAGGTAGGTGCGGAGGGCTGAGTGCCCGGGTACCAGGGAGGCCACTTCTTCCAACCCTAGCTGAGAATCTGAAAGCCTGTGCCCCCTTCCCTGACCACCATGGCCCCGGGCATGGCTCATGGGCAGCAGCTGTGGTCCCAGGGTCCGGACAACGGAAGCTGGATTGTACTTTCATACACGGGGCCACAGGAGCAGTGGGATCTAAGCCCTTGGACAAATGTCCCAGTAATGGGGTTGGGGGCTGGAGGAGCCTGCTGACAAGTTCCAGAGGTTGGAAAGGAGAAGGGGGCAGCTGGAGCTCTCTGTTCCTCCCCCTGCGTCTCCCCCCCCACCGTCTGAGCCTGGCCTGCCTGGGTGGTCACCCCTAAAGGCCAGCCGGATACTCATGCTCGGGCACAGGTGGCAGCATCCCTGGCTACAGCCTCTTGTGCCTGGCCCACCACTCTGGCCATGGATGGGGGTAGGCAGCATGGGGCCTGCCCCTCATAGCCACCCCCAGTCTGAGGATTGCGGGGCCCGGAGGTCTGCTTTGGCCCTTGACCTGGAGCATGAAATTGGAATGCAGGTTCTGACCATGGGCCAGAGAGGGGAGTGGGCTTTCTGGGGGCTGGACTCCCTGACCTTGAAGCAGGTGGCTGAGCTGGGAGCTCCCAGGGCCCAGGCCAGTCGCCGGGCTGGTCTCTCACCCTCCCGGCAGGGCAGAGGGGCTGAGCGTGTGCCGTGTGCATAGCTGGTGAGGGACGTGCTCCTGGGGGCAGGCCACTCCCCACTGTCTGTCTCTTCAGACCTTCAGCTGTCGTGCTAGGGACGTGGGGACCAGAACAGGGACGCCTCTGGCCCACAGGCCCACCCTGCCCAGGGCCTCCCTCAAGCTCGCTTTGCTCTGACCCAGACCCCTGGCCTGGGAGAAACAGCAGGACTCCCGGCCCCAGCCCCGCCCCACTGTTAGGATGCGTCTGCTTCCTGCGGAGCAGGTCTGGGACGCCCTCCCGGCCAGTCTTGGGGGAGCCCCGTCTGCGTGTGGATCCGTCTGTCCTGCTTCCCTGCTCCACCCCCAGGGGCCTCCTCGCGGCAGTGACCGCCACTACCACTTCTCGATGATGTGGCTCATGTAGTCCTCGGTGGGCACGCGGCCGGGCTCCTCAGCGTCCTCCCGCGGCAGCGCCTCCTTGGCGCGGCTCCGCAGGCGCTCCTCGCGGCTCCGCAGGCGCTGCTCCCTGCGCTCCAGCTGCCGCTTGTACTGGTAGCGCTGCTGGAAGAGGTCCTTGGCGTAGTCATACAGCTGCATGTCCAGGTCGTTGAGCTCCTCGATGCGCCGGATGGTGTCCTCGTCCACCTCCACGCCGCCCGCCCGGGTGCTGTTGTACTGCATGAAGGGTCGGATGAACTTGAGGTTGAACGTCCGCTCGAACAGGTACTGCGTCTTGCGCTGGAACTCGGTCAGGCCGAAGAAGGCCATGCCGCGGAGGTTCTTCTTGGCGCTCTCCAGCAGCAGCTGGGCCCGCTTGCCCTCAGGGATGAAGGACAGGTTGTAGCAGCCCACCAGGCTCAGGTCAGCCAGCATGCGCACCTGGCGGTTGTTGGCCAGGTTGTAGGGACAGTCCATGAACTCCTGCAGCGTGCAGCCTGACCAGTCCGTGCCCTCGTAGCAGGGCGGCAGCTCTTCCGGTGTGGGCGTGCGCCCGTCACACATGTGCAGCGAGGTCTTCCAGGTGGCGCCCCGCTGCACGTGCCGCCACTCGCTCAGGTAGCGGGACACAGGGTCTCGCAGCAGGGTGATATAGTAGAACTTCCTGCAAGGAGATGGGAGAGGAGATGAGATGAGCTCCTGACTGCATGGGCCTCAGCTTCACCTGATAGCAAGCGACTCCTATGTTTAGCTCAAAGGCCATTTGGCAACCTGGGATCAGAGATGCCAAGGACTCTGCCAATGGCACACAGACACCAAGTGTGACCACCACGATGCCCTGCAGTGCTCGGCCCAGCTCCCTCCTGTCTGCTGGCTCCTCGGGAGGGACGATCTGACTTTCACTGCTTTGGGAGTGGAGCCACCAAGCACCTTGTACTCAGGGCAGTCCCGGAGCCACGGCTACCCAGGATCAGCAGTTTTCACTGGCTGTCTATGGCACAGGCACAGTGCTGCCCACAGAGCTGCTCAGCAGGTGCAGGGGTTGGGCACGGGCCAGTGAGGGTTACTCCCAGTCCTAGGCCACTGGCCTTCCCTGCCCGGGGTCCTTGAAGCTGCGACTCATCACCTAATATCGACTCCAACCACACTTGGTTGGCAAGAGGCCCAGGATGACCTGTGTCCCTGCCAGCCTTGCTATAATGATGCCTGGGAGCGACAAGACACCTTGGACAGGTGGGTAAAATATGGCGGCCACTGCCAGATGCACCTGGGATGGCCCAGCGCATGTGTGGTCAGCCCAGAGGGGTCTGTAGTGTTATTTTTGGGGTGCCCCTCCTCTTGGCTGCTGCACAGTGGGGCAGGAGCCCCCAGGTCCTCTCTCAGCCTCCCCAGACAGCAACATGGATGCACACCCACACTGTTCCCCTCCTCATTAAGGCCCAAGAGAGCACCCGACCCATCTGCTCCCCAAACGTGGCACGGGGCAGGGCTGCAGGGAGCACATGGCACCCCGCGGTGTCCACTGGCAGCTGCCCTGATCTGACTGCACATCTCCCAGAGGCAGGGAGGGCCTGGGGCTGGGCACAGCACTGGGCGAGGTGGTGTGGTCCCACTGCAGGCCACCACAGAGGCTGGCGCTCTGAAGCAGGAGGGGTGGCTGGCTGAGGGCTCCAGGGCAGGCAGCAAGGCCAGCCCTACTGTGAGCAGAGGCTGCCCAGGAAGACAGGTAACAGCCATACGCCCGACATCCCCTGTGGCCCCATGTGCTGGCAGGCCCAGGCCCTGGCCGTGAGGGCTCCCAGCTAACTGTGCAGACAAGCTGTGGGTCGTGGGGAGGAGTGTTCACAGGCTCCCGCCAGGGCACACCAGCCCTCCCTGCACACCCCACCCGCCACCTGCCTGGTACTGCCTGTCCACGCTGGCGGACGCAGCTCCTGGGCACGCAGGGCTCCGAGGGCTGGAGGGCGGGACTACCCCAGGCCTGCACGCGGCAGGGCGCGGCGCACACCGCAGGACCAGCAGCAGACGAATGGGACCAGGGAGCGAGGCCAGGGCGGGGCCTCCACCCCACCATCAGGGCTCACCAAGCCTGACCGCTCAGGAGAAGAGACCCCTGTTGTCACAGCCACCAGCTCAGCGGCAGGACGGACGCTGCCGCCCCCCTCCTGTCACAGTGAAGAGGCTGTGACACCACCTGCGGCAGGCCTGGGCCCTGCCAGGGGCCGGACGAGGGCCCAGAGGGCTCCCAAGCAGCTTTCTTCTTCCATCGGGTCTCGGCCGCCAAAGCGGCACCAAGTGTCCAGGGCCGGGTTGGGGGTCAGCAGGCAGGACTGAGGCGGGGGCTGAGGGGACCCCACCTGCCTCTCCCAGGAAGATGCTCCGAAGGGGCCCTGGCACCTGCACCCACGGGTGAAGAGCTGGGACATGCTTCACACCAACCCTACACCCAGGACCGAAGGGGTCCTGACTGTCCCTGACAGTCCTCAACTGTCTCGAGGGCAGTTGAGGCAGATCCCTGGGGCTGAGGGTCCCTAACCCTGGCCGGGGGGCAGCACAGGCTGCAGCCACAGGCTCCCTTCCAGAGTCCCTTCACCTTTCTGAACCAGCCTCTCACCCCTCACCCCTGTGGAGCCCCTGGTGCACCTGCTGCCTCCAGAACTTGGCCTGGCCCGGCCCTTTCCCACCCTGCCCTCTCACAGCACCACCATGGCCTGCGGGCGGAGCGCGCCCTCGGCTGAATGCGGCACGGTGACCCCCACCGCCAGGCCTCCCCGCCTGCAAGGCCCGGCTCCCGCAGGAGGGCAGGGCCAGCCTGAGCACACGTGGGAGTGCCCGAGGGCACGTGCACAGGGGCTGGCTCTGGTGGCCACAGAGGGCACATGAGCTCCAGGCTGTGGCAGCGGGTGGAGGCTGGCTCAGTGATCACATGTCCCGGCAAGCACAGACAGTAGAGGGGAGCGAAGGCCCCTCTGCCCATGTCTGCAGAGGCGGCATCTTGGGGAGACGGCTCCATTTTCAGGGAACAGACGCTGGAACGACTTGACTTTTTCCTTCATGGGCATGAATCACTCTAAGAATCCATGAGTGACCTACTCTCAGGTTTGTGAGAAAATGGGGGTGCAGGGAGCTGCTGGAGACGACCTGCCTAAGCCCGGCCCCTCAGAGCATCGGAGGTTGTTCCCTCCTCCACGTCCCCAGGCCCTGGCTGCCCCCTGCAGAGGCCTTCTCTGCACGGGACACCCAGCGGGCACCACCTGTGAGGCGCGGGATGCCTGTCCCCACGGGGCAGCTTCTGCCCACGGGGTCGGAGCCAGGCCGCCCACGCGAGTGCCTCGGCATGGCCCTGCAGACTCGCCTGCCCTGTCTGCACTTGAGCTTCCCCGGCCCCGGCCCACACAGGGCCTCCCGCTCAGGGATGGCTGCCGGGTACCCAGGACGGCAGTCGTGTGCAGACGGTGCTTTCTGGTCAGCAGTGTTGGTCCCAGTGTGCTATATAACAAAATGGTAACATGAAACGAGTCTGTCACACACAGACACGCAGACTCAGCACAGGGTCTTCTCTGAGGGCACCCAAGGAGCTGACCAAAGCCCCGGAGCCCCTCCGGCCCCACAGCTCCCTGCACACCACCTGGTGCCCAGCAGGGTGGCCTCGCTCCCGGCTATGTCCCTGGCTGCTGGCCCAGGCCAGAGGGAGCAGTCCTTGCCAGGGCTGCGTAGTGCCCACGAGGGTGCTGCGGTGGGCGCGCTGCACCTTCTCTGCTCAAAACACTGCCGTGCCCTCGGGCCCCAATCCTGTGCCCAGACAAGGCCTGTGGTGGACAGGAAGGGCCAGGCAGACGCTGGAACCTGCCTGTGGGGCCAGCAGCCAAATGTGCGTACCCTTACCTCTTCCTGCAGGTGTGACAGCTGAGCCACAGACAGGGCGACCTGCCCCAGGACACCGCCCAGTTCCACCTGCTCCTGCCTAGCTGGCGCTGGAGACCCTGCCTGACGCACACACCACTGCTGGCGGGCTCAGGAGCCAGGGCACCTGCCCACACTCCTGCTGCTTAGAGACCTCCTCCAACCCCACCTCCACTGCCTAGTCCCCCACCCCATTCTGCCAAACACGGCAGGCACCTCCGGCCAGCCTCTGCCCAGACGCCCCAGCTCTGTCTCCCCATGTGCCGTGGCCCTTGCTTTGTCCTCTTGTCCGTCACACAGATCGCCAGACACAGCAGCTGTTTGCCCTCCGGTTTATCGTCTGCCGAAAGGTGGGACGGGGCATCAAACAGAAGAGGGCAGAAGGGGTTGTGGTGTAGCACGGAGACGGCCAGGTGACCCACCCCTCACATCCAGGCAGCTCTCTTTTTTTTTTGAGACAGAGTCCACTTTGTTGCCCAGGCTAGGGTGAGTGCCGTGCTGTCAGCCTAGCTCACAGCAACCTCAGTCTCCTGGGCTCAAGTGATCCTCCTGCCTCAGCTTCCCAAGTAGCTGGGACTACAGGCACGTACCACCATGCCCGGCTAATTTTTTGTATATATATTTTTAGTTGGTCAATTAGTTTCTTTCGATTTTCTTAGTAAAGAAGGGGTCTTGTTCAGGCTGGTTTCGAACTCCAGACCTCGAGCGATCCACCTGCCTCGGCCTCCCAGAGTGCTAGGATTACAGGGGCCAGCCACCTCTCTGATGTGTTCTCTGGAGGTGCTGTGATGGGAAGCTCATGGCTCAGGGGTACGAGGAACAGTCTGCACACACCATGGTGGTCCCCAGCCCCTGCCCGAAAGTGCCCAGACACTTGCCACTGGGTTAACTAATCCCTGTCCCCGCATCCCCCACTGGAAGCTGGAGGGTCTCCGCCCCAGAGCAAAGTCCTCCCTGTACCTGACGTCTGGGGATCCCCCAAAGCAGGGGGCTTTCTGACCACCACTGTCCAGCAGGGTCTTCCAGCCCAGTGCCCCACGCGCCAGCCAACAAGGCTTCCAGGAAGTGGGGAGAGAGGAAATAGAGAAAAGAGACAGAAATGACCAGAATTGGAGTTCGTAAGTCACTGAGACTGAAGTGGCTCACCAAGTACCCAGCTAGTGAGTGTGGGGGTGGGACCCAGGATTAAAAAGCATCTGGACAGAGAGAACCACAAATAAAAAGACACTTTTACATTGCAATGCTAGACGTTAAACATCAACAGAGCAATGTCTTCACAAGACAGAGGGACAATGATCAACTTGCTCTCAGACTCAACCAAACTATCAACCAAGTGTTGGGGAGAGGAGCAATGTCTTCAGACATACAAAGGCTTAGGAAATTTTTCTTCTGTGAATCCTGTTTTAGGAAGACACTGGACTATGTATCTCATTTACTAAATAAAGAAAAGAAAAAAAGACATTTGGGAAGCAGGAGCTCTAACCCAGGCAGATCCAGGATGTCAACAGTACGTTGGGCTGGGCCTGTCAGGAGCAGAGGGACAGGGGCTCTAGGAAAAGTGGGGCATGGATAGACTGAGCATTTGGTGGGAAAAAAATGAATGGCAGGTGTGTGGCAGATTTGAGAATCATTTAGAAAAAAAATTAGTCTATGAAGATAGAAAACAAAGCAAGTAAAAAGACAAGGCAATCGTTAATTCCAAGGAAAACAAACAGTTATGTAAAAAAAAGAAAATGAAGTACACTATTAACCTCAGATGTA